GATTTGGTGTATATACATATTTGTTTATACGTTAGAAATTAACACATATATTTTTAGTACATATCTTTTTTTTTTTTTTTGGTGAAATAAGTGTATTTTTTTTTTTTTTTTACAGTATAAAGTTATTAGATAATAAGTATTATTAAACCAATTTGTTTAGACGACTACTTATAATCTATTTCTGTATTTGATATACGTACAATATATCTGTATATACAATATTTCGTATATACTTTGCATATAAGCTTATTATTAGGAAGCTTTTATTTGTATAAATAAAAATATTTTATAATCATGAAATAAAAGAATATCAGTCATATACATACATCATAGACTTCATAATAATAATAATACGTAGATAATGTATATTTTTGTTAAACAGAGTTTTGTTAAACTTATTTTGATATGTATTGGATATATCCGTTAGGGTTACCGTATCGTTATCCGATAGTTTTTTTTTTAAAGAAATACTTGTTTGGTCTAACGCGCTTAATTACAAATCGAGATAACAAGGAACCTGTCACATGTTTAATACAAAATTAGTAAATTTCATTATCTTTAATAACACATGTCAAAAACATCACTTTAATACGTAAAAGGTCAGGTGATATTATTCGCGATAGCGATAGCAGATAGTAGCGATAGTGACGATAGTAAAGAACAAATGTGTCGAAAATCCTGTATCAAAAGTATGCATAGAGGATGAAATTTTACATTTATTATTACAGTATTACAGTATTAATATGCTTTAAAAAATATATATAATGACGAATACTTAATAACATTCCTTTAGAAATGACATTAGAATATTATTAATATTATTGTTATTACAGTATTAGGTCATTATATGAACTTTTAGGATGTCATTTTAAAAACAAAACGTAAGCATACATTCATACATTATAATTAATAAATATAGCAATATAAATAAATTAAAAAAAATCTTTTTTTATATTTCGATTTTTTTTTTTTTATCTCTGTGAACACATACCGATACAATATTAATTCATTATCTTTTTTGTAATACTGTATCATAATGCCTAAAAAGATGACTCGAATTAAAAATTCGAAAAAAAAGCAAAATGCTTCAAAGTAAATATTTTCTTTGCGTGAAATGTTTTGTGTCACACATGTCACGACTATATAATTTTTATAAAAAATATTTTAGAACGTCAAATATTGTGAATGAACAAGAAAGTCCCATAGTAGTTAATAAAGTCCTAGACTATCGTTGTGTGAATGGAAATGATGTGTATTTACAACAATATCAAGGTATTTTGAATAATATCTAAATATATACCTACTATTATTATTATTATTATTATTATTATTATTAAGTATATATTTAATTTTGTCGTTTTCATTAATTTTTCATTAATTTTAGTGGGCGAACAAATTAAAATAAATTGGATGAAATATGAATCAATGATCGAATGTGATAATTTAATCCGTGATTACTGGTTACGTGAAAGAAGTATCAATCCATTAGCTTCACCATCAGGTTCCTCAAAAATTTTAGTAGGTTCTGGATGGTTCCAATTTCGATCAGAATGTGAACAATCAAATAATAGCGATAGTACAGACTTTATGGATGATCTCACTCAAACTAATGTAACATTTACAAATA